TCCCTTTGGTGCTAGCCCTGCCCCTCTATTTATATGTTGAGCCCCGGGGTCGAAACTTGGAGCAAAAGCCTCCTCAAAATCGGTTTTGCCCGAAAGGCAAGAGTCCCACTCGGACTCCAGGACCAAATGCCACAATCCTTGGCGTCTGGCCCAGACGCCATGGGCCTCGGCGTCTGGCCCAGGGCCAGACGCCAGGGTCTCCGGCGTTTGGCCCCCTGGCCTCCGCAAAACTCCTTTTGCACCGACCTAAAGCCTCATGGGCTTGACCCCTTGGCCTAACCATATCATCCAATATATGAATCTTTACGTCTCGACCATTTCGAGACTCCTCGTCATGTCCTCGATCTCATCCGGGACTCCGAACTCCTTCGGTACATCAAAACATGTAAACTCATGATATAACTGTCATCGTAACCTTAAGCGTGCGGACCCTACGGGTTCGAGAACAATGTAGACATGATCGAGACACGTCTCCGGTCAATAACCAATAGCGGGACCTGGATGCCCATATTGGCTCCTACATATTCTACGAAGATCTTTATCGGTCAGACCGCATAACAACATACGTTGTTCCCTTTGTCATCGGTATGTTACTTGCCCGAGATTCGATCGTCGGTATCCAATACCTAGTTCAATCTCGTTACCGGCAAGTCTCTTTACTCGTTCCGTAATACATCATCTCACAACTAACATATTAGTTGTAATGCTTGCAAGGCTTATGTGATGTGTATTACCGAGAGGGCCCAGAGATACCTCTCCGACAATCGGAGTGACAAATCCTAATCTCGAAATACGCCTACCCAACATCGACCATTGGAGACACCTGTAGTACTCCTTTATAATCACCCAGTTACGTTGTGACGTTTGGTAGTACCCAAAGTGTTCCTCCGGTAAACGGGAGTTGCATTATCTCATAGTCATAGGAACATGTATAAGTCATGAAGAAAGCAATAGCAACATACTAAACGATCGTGTGCTAAGCTAATGGAATGGGTCATGTCAATCAGATCATTCAACTAATGATGTGACCTCGTTAATCAAATAACAACTCATTGTTCATGGTTAGGAAACATAACCATCTTTGATTAACGAGCTAGTCAAGTAGAGGCATACTAGTGGCACTTTGTTTGTCTATGTATTCACACATGTATTATGTTTCCGGTTAATACAATTCTAGCTTGAATAATAAACATTTATCATGAAATAAGGAAATAAATAATAACTTTATTATTGCCTCTAGGGCATATTTCCTTCAAGGAGGGCACAACCCACCAGGGCGCGCCTGGGCTGCTTGGCGCGCTTAGGTGGGTTGTACCCACCTGGTGTGCCTCCTATGGTAGTTATTTGCTCCAATATTCCTCATATATTCCAAAACAATTCTTCATAAATTTTCAGCTCATTTGAAGATGTGCAGAATAGGTGACTCTGACGTAGCTTTTTCAGGTTCAGAATTCCAGCTGCCGGCATTCTTCCTCTTTGTGTAAACCTTGCATATTATGAGAGAAAAGACATTAGAATTACTCCATAAAGCATTATTATGCATAAAAACATTGTAAATAACAGTAGGAAAACATGATGCAAAGTGGACGTATCACAAAGTTTTTCATAAGTTGCATTTCTAGTTTTTAATGTCGGATTCTCATGATTCTATGGTTTGATAGATGGTGTTGGTCGCCGCTTTGTTTCAACAAGTCGAGAAGAAGCCATTTTGGTTTTAGCCATTGTTGGATTAAATTGAATGGCGTGCCAAAATGGAATCAAGTTGTGGAAGACCTCAAGAAAGGCACCAAGAGGTTGAAGACAAATGATGTCTCAGGCTCTCAGCAATCAATTAGAGTGGATGATGAAGAGGAAGAAGTTGTAGGGAAGAACGAAAAAGCTACCGTGCTAAATAATAACTTGCAAGTGATGAGAAACAAGTGGGAGAAGGGGAGGTCCGCCCGTGACGCTGCAGCGACAAAATGCCCATCATAAATGGGAAAAAATTCCACAAGGAAGAATAAGAAAGAGGAGAGGCACAAACTCATGTTGGATACACAAAATAATGGATGGATTAAGACTGAGAGGGTGAACAACAAGTTGCAAAATGAGAGCAACAAGTTGAAAGATAGAGAGGGAAAAGATAGAATTGGACAATTGAGAGGCGTGTATTAAATGGGAGCTCGAGAAAGCCCGGACTTTTGAATCAATAGAGCTTGAGAATGAAAGGTTGCAACTTGCTTGAGACAAGGAGGATTCGATGATTATGTTGTCGGACGTGAGCTTCTTGGATGAGCAAACAAGAAAGTGGCTTGACGGGAGGAAGAATGAGATCAACCAACGTGGCTGAGAAAATGGCGATGGCAGCAGCGGACGCAAAGGGGACGGTGGGCGTGACAGAGCAATACGCACATATGGCGTCCGACGAGTGACCCGTCACGTTGGCCAGCCGTGGCTCAGACTTGAACATCATTTTGGCATGTCCAAATTGTTGAACTGTGATTTATTTCACTTTGTTTCGTTGTTGAATAATTGATTCTGATGAATTTCTACTATATGATCCACGTGCATGGATGTAAGGGTTCAAATTTGAGAAATGTGAAAAGTGTGGTTGCTAGGAGGACATATGAGGGGCCATCCGACGATGTCCAGGGTTGTGCCTGACATTTAGGGGGCCGGATTTGCATGTCTGGTTGATGCTCTAATAGAGTCGACCATGTGCAAATTCTCTCAGATTATGTTTGATCCTGTGACCAACTTGGCTTGATTGCTGACGGAAAATGGCCAACAAATAAGAGCAACTTCAATGGAGCGACCTATTTTGTTCGCGGCCGTCCGTTTGGGTCGGCGCGGATAAAAAAGGCGGCCTAACACGCTAACCCAAACCGACGCGCGTCCGCTTTCGTCCGTCTGCCGACCCATTCCCGGCCCATTTTTGAGCCTGATTTGCGTTAACGCGGACACAAGACGGATGCGCGCGCGCTCGCCCTCTTTTCTCACCGGGCTTGCTGGTCGGTGGCACATTGGATTCACACCCTCGCCCGCCTGCCACGTCGTTGATACTGCCGACCATTTTTTCAAATAAAAATGGATAGATAGTTCTAGCGTACACAGATAAAAAAAACCACTACTCGTTGTTTTCTGACTCCGACTCGGTAATGTCCTCCTCCAACGTCTGAATGTAGGCGTCAGCATACGCCTCGTCTTCAAAGTCCCAACCCGCCGTTTCCCGTAGCTTCAGTTTCAATTGAGCTGCCTGCTTCTGCGAACGCTTGTCCTCCCGATAGGCGGCTCGCTCCCTCCTCCACACGTCCCTCTCCAACCTTCTTTGCTTGTAGAACTGGCGTTCGTCGACGATGTCCTGCGGGAAGCCTCCGTGCCGCACCACCAAGGCTTCCATGTCCTTCTCCGCGATGGCAAGGCGACACTGCCGCCTCCAGTGGACACGACGATCCTCGTCGGTGAAAAGCCGCGGGAGAGGCGCCAGATCCTGCGCCCGCTGGCTGGACACGTTGGGAAAATTCATATCCCGACGAGGCCTCAGGAGGCACCACGCTGTCGCGTCGTGCGCGCGGGCCGCCTCCTCTGCGGTGTCGAAGTGCCGAGGATGAGACGTTTCTTGCGAAACCAGATCTTAGAGGTGAAGGCGCCGGAGCGGCGCTCGCGGACTCCGTGAAAATCTGAAGCGCCCAGGCAGCGGATCGACATGATGACGCAGAGGCGGCGAGGCTAGTGAGAGGGGGCGAGATGAGTGGGCGGCGGACAGAGTGTAGAGGGAGCGCCTTCTTATAACGAGCGCCGGCCGTGGCGCGCGCGCGAACCTTTCCCGCGCGCTGGAGCGCCAAAATCAGCGCGCGCTAGGCCGCTTTCCCCCGCGCGCGAACTTTTCCCGCGCGCTGGAGCGCCAAAACTAGGACGACAGCATGGCCGCTGGCATAATCTAAAACGTGCACGGTCACTGTCGATCCAAAACTAAAAGAAGACGGACGACGGGCGGCCGGCCGACCCAAACGGACAAAAAACAGATAAAAAACACCGTCGGTTTGGGTCGACCCGTTGAAGTTGCTCTAAATACTACTTCCTCTATCTCATAATGTAAGTTGTTTTCTAACACAGCAGATTCATTCACGTCCCCACAGCCCCACCCTATGACCTACCGCAGAGAGCCCAAACAACGGCCGAACGTACGTAGAGGACACCAACGGGAACGCCCGCGCCACACACGTTCCCGTTCGAGCCCCACCATTCTCGACCCACACAGCTCCAAGTGTACCGGCAACTGAATTTGCGTAGGTTTAAGTCGGGGTTAACGGTGTTGCAACCTTTTTTATCCACCAATCTGAATATGCGACATACCCACTCACTCGTAGTGTGACC